GCCTGGGCTTGGACACACGCTTTCGCTCGCCTCTGCTCCTTCTCCCGCCCAGCGCCAACAGATTCCCATTCAGCAGCAATGATCTGCGCAGAGGAGGTGCGCAGTCGCACGGCTTGAATTAGGCGCCATCAGGCTTGGTAGTAGCCCTGCTGCTCCCTGATTGGCAGTTCTCTGGCCCGGCGCCAGCCTATTGGGAGGCCTGTTTACGCCGAATGAGTGGCACGAGCTCCCGTCCGTGGAGAGCCGCGCGGCCAATCAGCGCTCGGGCTGCTCCAGGGTGAGTGGCACGAGCTTATTAGTATGCAGGGCCCGTGGCTCGCCGCGCCGGGCTGCAGGCTTGAGAGCCGCTCTGGATGGGCTCGCTAGAGTCGTTGTTGTGGAAGCGGTGCATTTACAGTGCAACAGTCAGCACATTGAAAATACCAATAGGAATACAAAACAAAGTCACATTTACTGATTTAATTGTATTGCATTCAATTGTATCCAGGAAACAGCCTCCAGTAAGTAACTGAAATTGCTTTTATTTTTTGTATTTTTATTTTATTTTTTATTTTGGTTTTGGGGATTTACATTTTTTTAGCAAGAGAAATTCAGGATTGTGGCGTTACGAAATAATATATCTTCCCTTTTAGAAATCCGTTATAATGTCGAGAAGGCTTTATTTTTTCTTAGAATGGACTATATATGAGTGATTTTTTTTTTTCTCTCTGAAAAATCTTATCGATCGGTTTAAAATTCCCCCCGTAATACGTCCTTGCTTTGCTCTGAGCGCTTGTTGTCTCGATCGACATCCAGCATTAAGAATAATCGAGACAGGATGGGGGCTACTGGGCAGCGTGGGGCGGGAGCCCCGCGGGTGGCTCCGGCTGGACAGTCAGCATGAGCCCAGCTCTTGAGGAACCACGAGCGAACCCCGATTATTTGCTCCCCCATCCTAGTCCCCTCCCCCGAGCAGCCCTGGATGGGCCCCGCCCGGTCGCTCCGCGGCTCCGGGAGCTGGTCGGCTCTTGGCGGCCACGGCCGCTGCCCAAACGGGCTTTTCTTTTTCTGGTCGCGGAGAGAGGAAGGTGGGGTAACAACGAGGTTTTTAACTTTCTCTCCCTGAGCCTCGTTCACTTTTGAACATTTCCGAAAAAATGCTTTTCTGGAGAAAGATGGACATGGGGGCCGAGGCACGGGCCGTCTTCACCGCGCGCGTTCGGGGAAGCTTGAGTGGATGGGGTCCGCGGGCTGCTACGTCCCGGGGC